ACAGGGTCTCCCTGTAGCCCCAGCTGTCCTGGAACTCACTATGTGACCAGGCTGGCCTTAAACTCACAGAGATCCGCCTGCCTCTGCCTCCCAGTGCTGGGATTAAAGGGGTATGCCACCACACCCGGCTAGGCCATTGTATATTTTTACAAAATGCTTTTCTGAAACTATATTTTATATATTTCACAGACCTCATTATGCAACCAAAGTTCAACTGTCTCCATTCCATTCATTTCTTAAAATATAATTGGTCAACAAAAAATAACAAGAGTGTATATTTTTCACAGAAGCTCCAGTAACAATAATAATATACGAAACATAGTTGACAGTTCAGTTAAACTTTATGTTTATTCAGAACAAAGAATATCAGTACATGAAAATTCACTAAACTTTCACAACTAAGCCATGCTATAAATGATTCAAAAATAAAATTTTTTCTTGGCTTGCTTCATTTTAAAATTACAATTCATTTCTTATTGGCCCAAATTCTATTTTAGAAGTGTGTACACTTCCAGCTTATGAGTAACATCCAGCTTCTCAAAATAAGCAGGACTGAGCGAGTTCAGAACCATCTCAGCACACTAAACCCGCTGATCCCCAGATAGTGTGCTCCCTCCAAGACATCAAAGGAAGCTGGAATCAGGACTAGTTTATGATCTCAGGTATTTTCTATCTCTGGGAGGAGACGGATATCTAATAGGACTACTGGGTTTCCTGTGTGATTTTCACTAAGAAATCTCATAAATAATTAACTAGCCAGATGAAAAAATTCTTTTTGAGTGGTGAGTCTTCCTTTGGAATAAAAAGTCAGAAAATGCTCCATTTCATTATTCCTGAAAAAAAAGCATTGCCAGCCTATATCCTGTCTGATGTAAGGGTTACAGATACTTCTTGAGACTCTATAAAACATACTCTGAAGAGTTCTTTAATTCATGGACTCCTTGTATTTTCTTTCCGGTCTGTTTCCTTTGAAGAATATATACCTGATTTTCAAAAGGTTGATAACATATATAACTTAGACATAATTAGATTGATCACATTGAAAAAAGTTACCAGTTTTGATGCTATTATACACATGCATTTATAGACTTTAGTGTCAATTCCTATTTGCTCAATTCTGGATGTATGAAGAATTGGCATATGACCTTCCTCACATTTTTTATGTAAGCGTGTTATCTCATTAAAACATTGTTGATATAGGCATTCATGTGCAGGAATATGCCAACAAAATCATGACATAGGAACAGGCAATGTGGGGAAGACCTAAGATCCTGAAAACTCCCATCAGCTGTCTTCTTCATGTTTATTTGATTACTTTTATGATTTGACAGAGAATTTGTCAACACATGCATAATAGAGGGAAATATCTCTTTAAAAGAAAACGATTTAAATATACATACTATAAGGGACACATTCATACTGCACTTCAAGGTATTTGTAGGTTCCTGGACATGGGTCTGGAAAGACGTCAGGACCCGCCACCACTGCACACTGGGTTCTGTTATTGCATCTGAAATTAAAAGAAAAAAAGAAATAGCAAATTTATGCAACTTTAAAGCATTATGAACACCAGCAATGACTTTATTTTATTTATAGTTATACAGACTTAGAAAAGATTTGGCTGAATTGGGGCTTTTGAATCATTAAAGAAATATTTTTAGAATGCTTTAAAAATTAAACATAAACATTTATCTAGTTTGTTCATAGTAACTGATACAGGGCGCAGTTCTCAAGCAGAAGCTATGTATTGTTGAAGCAACGCAAATGAATACAGGAAGGATTATTTGGGAAGAAAAACAATCTCTACAGAGTTACATTTAGGCAGTTGTAAAAGAACTTCACTAATTATGATGACACTCATTCTAAAGCACTGAAAAGTGACACTGATAAACTTTAGTGATGCTTAAGATCAGTACAAACGGTTTCTAAGGGTTAATGAGATGACGCAGCAGGTAAAGATGATTTCTGACAAGCCTTATGACCTGAGTTCAATTCCAGGGCACATCCACATGGTAGAAGAGAGAATAGTAACTCCTTCAAGAGTTCCTCTAACTTCCACATGTGCACTATGGTACATTCACGCACACACATGCACAGTCATACACACAAATAAATGCAAAAATAAATTTAAAACTAAACATTTAAATATTGAAACATTTTATTTATCACAAGTTGGTATATTATTCCTAACCACATAAGTAAAACTGTTTTAAAGAATTGATTTTCCGTGTTCCCTGTTCACTGCATAATGACCTCATATCATCTACGCCAGTGTTCTGTAATTTAAAATTATAGATTTAAAGTTCTGAAGAGAAAAATAACATAACACTGTTATAACAGAAATACAAATTTGGGCATTTTTGTGGTAATTAGATTAAACCAATCTGGACTGGTTTATCCTTGAGAAAATAATACATATAATGAAATTTCGCTTCTGAGAAAAAGAGTCCAATTCACAGTGGCCTCATTACAGTGCATATTACTCAGAAGCTCTAGGTTCACTGGTTTATCCACTGTTAAACCATGGTTAACAGTTAAACAAACCCGTAACAGTGGCTTGAAGTAAATGGGATGAGCACACTGGCTATTTTGTTTTATGTTCTTGCTTATTCTCTTCAGAACACACAATTTTAGTGCTAGCTTTTTTTCTTTTTTAAATGCGTGTGTTTTGTGTGCATGTATGCAAGTGTAACACGTGCATACAATATTTGAAGAGGCCAGAAAAGGGCATTGGACCTACTGGGACTGGAGTTACTGACAATTGTTAGCCACTATTTTGTGCTGGGAGCCAATCCCTGGACCTCTCTGCTCTTAACTGCTGAGCATCTCTCCAGTCCCTAAGGCTAGGTTCCATCACTTTCTTAAAGGTTTCATCATTAATGAATCCATGCCTCAGAACACTCAGACACATGGAAAAGCAGGAACAGGATTCATTTTTGATTTAAAGTAAAAACATATATGTGCTTGAAGCTAATGCTTATCAGGATTAATGAGGTTTTATTTAATCCCTGAATTAAAATGGAATCATTACTGAACATTTCAAGCTGAAAAAGATATTCCATGTCACCAGCCAAAGATTAATTCAAGCCCACAGATCATATTCCGTGTACCAGTTATTCTGAAGGACTAATAACTACTATGGTCTCCCCTGTAAATGTGATATTTGAATTCATGCCCATACCCATACAACTGTATTCTAAGGTTAAAGGAAACATGGCTGTCTTCACACATGCAGACTAACAATACAACATGATGGTTTTGTTTCCTACTTCTCTATTACAAAGAAAATTCATTTGAAGACTATATCTCAAGGTAAATGGCATGATGTTAGTAGCTAAACCACAATTACACTCAGATTGCTTATCCAACTGTAAGAAAATTTAAGCATCCATTACATGTCATTCCAGTCACCACTCTGAGTTCAAAATACCTTACTTCATGTATATCTAAGAAGAGCAAAGAAAGTCTTCCAGTTAATAAGACAGTCAACTTGAAGGGTACCAAATCCATCAAATACCATGGAATGATGTATGTACAGTCCCTGCTACTATAGTTCTATCTAAACAACACTGCATTATAATATCCACTTGACAATAACGTGCTATTATACTAATATTTCACTATAAAATATTCTGAAAATCAGAGTGAGAATGGCAGATTCAATCACTAGAATGTTTTTCTTATATTAATATATTATAATCATTATAATATTTGTTGTTTAAATACCTTAAAGACAAGCTATACTTTGAAAAAAATTAAATAATCTTTCCACTTAGTTTTTTTGTCTTTTTGAGACAGGGTCTCCCTGTAGCTCCAGCTGTCCTGGATCAAAATGAAATCAGTGTCAATATTAGATCAAAGATTTTGAACAATTCAATTTTCATAGTTATTTCAAAATTGTCAAAAGTAAAATCATTCTAATATACTATATGTGAGGAGTGAAATAACAGAATGCAATGTGCTTTAAACTCAGATGTTTTGTTGTTTACTTCTTTGTTGTTGCTGTTTTGTTTTGTTTTGTTTTTCTCCCTGTAGCCCCAGCAGGCTTGGAACTCACCATGTAGACCAGGCTGGTCTGGTCTCTGCCTCCCCAGTACCAGGATTAAAAGCATGTGCCACCACACCTGGCTTTCATTATTTATTATCAAAGATACTTTTAAAATTACAACAAAGAATGAGAAAAGACTGAAATAATATTGTCAAATATATCCTAATCCAACAACAGAGAGGAAATACTCTAATTTTATAATAAATTTGAAGGGTTATTTATAACACCCATATTTTTAGTATTGTTTTCATTGTAAATTTTATGTGAGAACTGTCTCTGCTATAACATTTGTGTCATTAGAATGTAACATTGAGAGATGTCAGGTAGAATTCTCAAAGAAAGAAAAAGCTTTTGAGTTTTCTTAAACAAATGTGTTTTGTTATTTTATTATATCACAGGGTTAATGAGTTTATTACAAAATGGATTAGCTGCATTTTTATTATTGTTTTATCAGCATTATTATCATTAAAATGTGTCATAGTTTCAGGACAGAACTTTATTACAGGTAGGTGAGGCATGTTTGAGAGAAACATACAACACCAGCAGTAAGGTACCAAATAGCATAGAAATTCTTTGACCTGTGGGTAGGAACAGGAGAAAACATCTTCATATTAAAACCAGGCAAACCCAGACTTCCAACTATGCAACACATTCTTTCTCCTTTGCAAAGTGCTTTCCATTACATACCCCGGGATAAGCCCAAGAGTTTTTAGTAAACAGTTCTTCATTTGGTAATGTTTCAAATATACAAAGCATATTCACTGTGTGGCATATCTTTTCTATGCTAATTCATTTTAGTTAATTTTATTTTTCCAGTTTTATAAACTAACAAAATTGTATACATTCAAGATGTGCACTGTATGTTTTGATGTATGTGTACATTATGAAATGATTAACACATACATAAGTTAATTCATACATCATCCTCTAACAGAGTTATATCTTCCTTTGTGTGTTGTGAGGGAAAAGGGATCTAATCGGTTAACAAATTTCACAGTATGGTAATTAAGGTCACCAACTTATACATGTGATCTCCAGCATGCCTACATCCTGCGTTCCTAAAACTTTACTTCTTTTGATCAGGATCTGTCTCTTTCCACCACTCCCCAGGCACAGGCAACCTCCACCTACTCTGCTTCTGTTTCACATTCCTATATTTCTACACATGACAGAGACTGTAAAGCATTTCTCTATCTCTCTGATCCTTTTCACTTAGTACAACAGTCTCCATATTCAAGTGTGTTATCATAAATATAACAGGGCTTCTTTCTTTCTTCAAGGCTGAATGATATTCGTGTGTGTGTGTGTGTGTGTGTGTGTGTGTGTGTGTTGTGTGCATGTGACAGATCTGGTGGACATTTTGGTTGATTCCATTATTTTCGCTATTTTGAATACTACTATGATAGATATGGGAGTGCAGATAATATCTTCAAAATAGTTTAATTTTTTGGTGATATACACTCATATGAGATTATGTCAGCTTTATTTTGTTAATTTTTAAAATCTTTTTGAGACAGGGTCTCCCTATACCCCAGTTGACCTGAAACTCGCTATGTAGATCAGTCTGACCTCAATCTCACAGAGCTATGCCTGCCTCTGCCTCCTGAGTGCTGGAATTGAAAGCATGCATCACCATGATGCCCTGTTTTGTTTTGTTTTGTTTGTTTTTTTAACTCTGTGTGCCAACATGCTGCTTATATGAGGACTGTATCATTTTACATTTCCACAAAGAGTATGAAGGACGTCCCCTTTACTATATTCTTTCCAATACTTATATCTGTATTTTTAAAATATATTTTGATTTATTCTAGAAGTTCATACAAAGTATTTTGATCATATTAAGACCCCACACATCTCCCTCACTCCTCCCTTACCTTACAACTCCCCACACTTCATGCCCTCTATTATTATTTGTCTGTTTGCTGCTGTTGTTAAAGGTCTGCTGTGTCTAATCTGAATTTCCTAGATGCTCTTTGGTGTAGATCTATCCCTTCATCTGGTCAACCCACCAGGCATGACACCTGTAAGAAAACTGACTCTACCTCTCTCCTTATCTATCAGTTGTCAGCAGATCCTCGTTTAGGGATGGGACTTCCTGTCCACATCTACTATCCATGAGAGTTCCATCCGCCTGGTGAGTTCTCTAACCCCAGCTGTCTTCTTTACTACCTGGGCTTTCAGAGTTGCTATGTTCATGCAGCTCATTTATCTTTTATACAGTAGCCATGCTAGGAGGGGTGAGATGAAATTCCACTGTGTTTTGGTTCACCTTACCTTGATGATTGGCGAGGGGACCACATTTTAACATGCCTGCTGACAATGTTTGTCTTATTTTGGCAAATATTTAAAACTTTTACATTTATTTATTTGTGTGTGTGTGTGTGTGTGTGTGTGTGCACTTTTATATGTCCTCACACATACCTATGGATACGTGTATACGTATGGATGTCAGAAATTAACTT